GTTCTCCATCGGAGGAAAGCAATGGAAAGAAAAAAAAATAACCTAGAAGCAGCAATACACAACTGGGTAGCATTAAAATCGTGGGTGGGCTGTTAAAATAAAAAGCATTCGTAGCAAAGACAAACAGCTCTCGCTTCACCTGTAAGGCTTTTCCATAGGTACCTGTTACAACTTTCCTTCCCAAAGAAAAAAAAAAAAAAAAACTCTACCATGATGACAAGCAGAGCCATAACTCTTGATAATATTTCAAAAACAGATAGATAAAGGAGTTCAATTCTAAAAAAAAATAAAAAAATAATCACTGTTCAATGTGCTTTCCTTCTGAATTTTGATATTTTCTGAGGGCATACAGTTTGTTGAATTTGCTTTTAAATGTCCAATCTGTAAGATACAAGAGTTAAGACATCAATGCAATCACAGGAGCGAGAGGTACATCACACTACAGCATTCCACCTACCAAGTACAGTAGCAACATTTAATATTAAAGAGTCACATAGAGAAAACAAAGACTATTCCATTTCCCTTTTTTCCTGTTGTTATCCATTATCTGGCAAGAGTTTCACGTGTTTGGTTTATATAGTCTCAATCCTGAACACCTGTGCCTCCACACATATACCCAAAGCCTATGGAAACATTTGGCCCATGTAAAAGAAAAAAGAAAAGGGCCACAAAAATAATCTCAATTCTCATGATCTACAAACATCCCACCAGCAGCATTTCATCCTTATAATTCCACAAGAAACCCATGCCTAAGCTTTCTGATAATCCCAGCCATCTAACCCAAAAACACAGCGTAATATTTCTGCAGCAGGAAGCCCAAACCATTAACAAGCTTCTTCCCAGGGAACAGACACAACCAAAAGCTCTGACGATACTGCTTTTGTCCAGAGAAATGCTAGAGAAAGTCTTGAATTTGCAAACTCAAGCCGCGATCCTTTAAATATTTATGCTTATGTTTACTTTTTAGAGAAGGGAGAAATCCCATTCACTCAAGAGGAAGTGAAGCAAATGTAGGCACGCAGGACCCAAGCCTGAGAAAATAAGATGTTCTTTCTAAGCTCAATACAAAAAAAAAAAACCAAAAACCAAACCCACCCCATCTTCTAAAGTCCATCCTAGCAAGCCAGGCTCCACGACCAGGCTGGGAGCTTCATAAAGCAGACAACAAACACACCTTCAATCTCAAGGTGACACAACAGGCAAAACAATCCCTCCAAAAATGATGGGGCTCCTTCCCCACAGACGGCAGCTCTTCCCAGGCCCGTCTCCAGCCTCCTCCAGTATTCCGCGTGCAAGTGGGACCGCAACCCCATCTTATTTATAAACCAAGGGAACGCAGGAATTTCTGAAATCGAGTGTGACCAGCTAAGATGCTGCAAGAGGCTCAACGACCTTGTTTCCTCCCTCATGCATTTTTAAAGGAATTGCAACCAAAAGCTCCATGGTTTGGAGCCAGAACTAGAATTTGCCAGAAAACGACCCGTCAAAACCAACCACCCCAAGTGGCTTCAGAAACTCTCTGATCACATTCGCTCACAATTTGGCTAGACTCGAGGTATTTAAGGCTTCAGGGCTACGTGGCACGCTCAGTCCCAAGGCTGTAACGGTGAACCCAGGTCTCCTTCACCAACTACCTGGTGGTGCCCAGCTGCAGAACCAGTGGAGGGACCAGCACCATCCCTGTGCTCCCAGTACTCCCCCTGTTGACTTGCGGGCGATAAGGAGGAGTGGTCCCTTCTTCCATCTGGAGCTGGACACCATCCTTCCAGAAATGAAGCGGTGCACATGGGTGATCAGGATTTCTAGTACAGCCCTGCCTCAAAACGAGCTAAATTAAGGTTGCACAGGTAACCTCAGGGTTTCACATTTCCCGCCTGACCTCACATGCTTCACATTCTCAGAGGTTTTCTTGCAAACGTGACCAACGCTCGCTAAAATCACCACGAACGTCCCAGATAAAAGTAATTTAGGCATAAAACATTTAGAGGGTTAGATTTCCCTAGCAAAAAGTCCCAAAGGTTTGCCAGGGTGAGTTTTAGGTGGCGCAGATAAGCACCAGCGTTTGTTAAAAGATATGGCAACAGCAGATGTCACATCAGCCATTTGAGACCTTTCAAACTTAAAATGCAGCTTCCCCACCCAAAACCAAAAAAAGATAAAAATGTGAACTCTATAAATCGTAACTGGGGCTGCAGATGCACAGAAGAAACAATTGTGAGGCACGCACTTTGCAAAGCTGAGCCTACAGCCTAATACTTTTTACGAAAAAAATAAAGAGAATTGGGGTATTCAAACAATCCTCTTTTCAGATGTCTCAGAGGCACCACTGATGGACCAGAGGCCTTTCAATAAAGAGGAAACCTCTCTAAAAGCATCCTGATTTATCTATTGATTGCAATAAAATAAATAAATATTAAAAGCTGCATCATCATTGATAGCCCAGGAAACAAAAGCTTATTACTCGTGTGCCACAGCTGCTGAATTACCTTCCCTACCGTCAGCAGCCGGACCGGCGGCTTCCAAAATGGTCATGGGGATGAAAAAAATCACAGCCGTGAGCGAGCGTGAAGGCTGAGAAAGCCTTCATAAAGGAAAAATGCAAAGAAAAGCCACTTTTTTTTTTAATTAAAAGAAGTTCAAAAAACAAGAAAAGCCACTGCAATGGGTAAGTTCACTCCAAGGCATAAGGGAAAGCGTAATTATCGCGTGACTGCAGGACGACGGGCTGAAGAGAAGATGCTTGTGGGTGATAACGCAGCCTCTCCGAGCCCAGCCGGAGCTCGCTGGTGCCCGTGGCTAAACCCAGCTCGAGAAGGTTGCCCTTAAGCATTCCCAGCCCATCACCACCGCATCCGGGCGCCTCTCCTCGGGAGAAGACAACCACCTTCCCCTGTCACTTCCTAGCGCTCCCCGGGGAAAAGAGCCGGGAAAAGGCTCGTGCTGGCCAGAAACCCATTTCCCCAACTCAGAACCTGTTTAGGAAGCGATGTCGGGGGTTTAGCGAAACGCCGCGCCGTTCTTCTCTCCCCACAGCAGCGCTCGCCTCCTTCCTTCGCCGCTACGTGATTCTTTTTTTTGATACGCCGATGGGCAGGGTAACGCGTGCTGCAGCGAGGGATGGGAAAGCCATGATTTCTGCTGAGCTCACGCGCCCGACTTTTATTAATCTCAGCTCGATTTCAGGATACGAAAACGTAAATGGAGGAGGAGGAGGAGGAAGAAGACGATCTAGAAGCAGAAGGGCGGCAAAACGCCCAGCTCTGAACTTACGGCAGGTCCTACCGCCAGTCACCTCGGAGAGGGTTGCTTTTTGGGGTTTTTTTTAAGGCGGATAAAGCCAAAGGCCGTTTTGGCCAGATTTAGGAAAATTCCAGAAAGAAATAGCGAGTGTTTTAACCTTTCGGAGGAGCAGCGCTGGCAGCAAGGTCCGGTGTGGCGGGGGCGCGAGCTGCCGCGGGTGGGAACGCTGCCTCCAAAACCAGAAATACCTCATTAGGACGGGGTGGGAAGGGCTAACGATGCGCCGGTAACGGGCTCCCGACGGCCACCCGCTCCCACCGCAATGCCCACGGTCACGGCGCAGGGGCCGTTTCCCCACCCGCCGTGGGGGGCTGCGGGGACGCCACCGACCCACCGGTGACACTGGAAAGGCGAAGGGGAGGTAAAAGCTGCCCCCCCCCGGGTTTGGGGTTTTTTTTTTTTTTGAGGTCTCGCCTGTCCGACCCACCCCCGAGAGGGGTGGAAGCGGCACCGGAGGACCGAGAACCGGCAACCCCGCCGGGCGCTCCCACGCGTGGGGCAGTCCCCGCCCGCCGCGGAGCCGCCCCGCACCTCGCAGCCGGTGGCGGGGGGGGGGGGGGGGGGGGGGGGGGGGGGCAGCCGTGAATGCTTTCGTCTCTTCCACCCTCAATTTTTTATGACTCCCCCCCGAAGTTTTGGGGCTCCCCACACGCCTCCCTCCCCTCTCCCCCTTGGAAAATCGCCTTCCCCACCTTAGGAACACAGAATCACAGAATCACACAGAATCACAG